AGGAAGGAAAGGAAGGAAAGGAAGGAAAGGAAGGAAAGGAAGGAAAGGAAGGAAAGGAAGGAAAGGAAGGAAAGGAAGGGCAGTTCTGGAATTTTACCAGAGGGATGATTCTGTTAAGATTGGGGAAAAACAGGGACTTAATTTTACTTCTCACAGTTGGCACGCATGCCCTGTGTGAATTTCCCTGTCCTACACTGTGCCTCACCTTTCAGCCTGAGAAGGGGATACCAACACTTTTGGGGAGGGTGAAAAGGAGCTCCTTCTTCCTCTGCAAACTCCCCCTGAGGTTTCTCCAACTGTCTCACTTCATCAGCACACAAGGTGACAAGGCTCCATCAAGGGGAGACGGCACTGCAGGAGCTGATCCTGGCAGAAACACCAGCAGGACCAGGACACACCTGCCCTCAACCCTTATCTTCTCATAAGGGAAAGGTCTGCAGGGCACACCACTGCCAAGCTCCAAGTAATCTGTAATGTTTAATCTGTTTTTTTGATTCTGCTGTATTTCTTCTGTCATGTGGATTTCTCAGTCCCCTCTGGGCCAAGCTCCTTCAGAATACTCCCTCATGGGGAGTTCTGTTTATCTCAGTTCTCTGGGTGAGGAAGAAAACTCCAAAGCTCGTCAGGATCTTGTTTCTTGTGTTTATTAGGATGCTATCACAAAACTTGGCAGGTCTTTCCAGACTTTCTACACAATTTCAAATCACTACAACCTGGCACACTTTGGGCTCTGATGGCACAAAAATGGCCTCGAACTGTGCAGCTTTTTTATCTTTATACTTATTCTTATCTAATTAACAATAGACACATATATTATTTTTCTTAATGACCTAATGAACCATCACCTGTGTGCTGCACTGTGACATTTTTTATCCAATCACTTACTATTACCCAAAAACTTTTAGAAGAAAATGAAGAAGAAAGAAGGAAAATAGACAACACCCTAAATCCTCCATCTTGTCTTCTGCTCTCTAAACTAGTTTAAACTCTAATCTAATTTTTTCACCCAGTGACTTAAGAAAACTCTCTAATCTACACACACTTTTAGCTTTATCTAACTCAGAGCTAAGTATCAGAGATAAGGGCACACACTCTGTGTCTCAGATTCCAACAATCACCTCGTCAATCTTTAATTGATTTCAGCTTTCCCATTAACCTTTGTGAGCTGAGTGTACAAGAGGAAAAGTCACAGCCTTGTTTGCCAGATGTGGGAGGGCCCAGGGCACCAGTGACACTGCAGCACTGTTGCAGCCCTGGCCAGTGACCACTGTAAAACCAGACAGGCAAGAAGTAGCTGTGCTGAAGCAACCAGGAGGGAGTGCAGGATCATGGCCACCTATGTGCAGCTGAACACCGCTGCCAAGATGCCTCTCATGGGGCTGGGCACCTGGAAGGTAAGAGCTACAGAGTAAAGCACCTGTACTCCAGAGCTCCCAAGCACAAAACTCCACTGCCCCTGGTCCAACTCTGGACAGCTGTCCTGGGGCTCTGCTCTGCCTGGCTGTTGGGCTGAGTGGGAGTTGGAGTGGAGCTACACATAAATGGCTGGAGGTTGATTTCCAGCCCTGGAGTCCGTGTTTACCACTGCAAGAAACAGTGTTCTTGTAAAGGGAAAAACCCCACCAACCTGGACTGGGGGGAGGGATTGCTTTCCCTAACACGGTTTTCCTGGTTTTATTTATTCCCTAGAATACAGGTCTTTAACAAGCACTGATTCTTAATATTTATGCATTTTTTCCAGTCTGCAGCTGGGCAAGCAAAAGCTGCGGTGATGGCTGCCATCGATGCCGGGTACCGCCACTTCGACTGTGCCTACGTGTACCTGAATGAGAATGAAATTGGGGAAGGGATCCAGCAGAAAATCAAAGAAGGAGTTGTGAAAAGAGAGGACCTCTTTGTCGTCAGCAAGGTAAGGATCAAATGATCCTGCAGCCTGGAGCACAGCTGGGGGAATGCTTTGTGTAAAGTATTTTTATTAGAAATAAAATAGGAAGGTAGCAGGAAGGTAAGAAATAGAGACAAACTTTACGTTATAGGAGAAAGCAAATCATAGCAGCATTCAGGTTACTGCTGATACAAGCTTACAGCTTCACCCCTTTCTGTAGAGAGAGTTAGGAAGGACACACCGTGTCTGCACCCTGCTGTGGTGACCCAGCACTCCCGGGGGATGGATTGATCAGAGCAAAAGAAGAGAAGCAGGAAAAGGCAGAGTGGACCAGATAGCCCCAAACAAGGTAGAAACAAGTGATGCAGAGGTCAGAGACCACTCAGTGTAAAGGACTGATAGAGGCAGAAGCAGCTTGCTAATGACACCCTGCTGACTGCTAAAGCACAGCAGAGCACACAGGCCTGTCACTACCTGGTGCTTGTTCCAGCAGCTGGCTCAGAGCATTGCCAAAGGGGTGTCCCTGCCATGGGAGGTGTCTTTCAGGGCACCTTGGGACACTCAGCACATGTCCCAAGGAAGGTGGGGATGGTGAGTTTTCCTTCTTATTACAAAAATCAGGCTATTTAGCTGGAATCTGGAGTTACTTCTTACCTAAGTAAAGGTTGGGGGCAACCACTCTTTATGGTTTGTGTTATATCTCCTTGGCTTTGCCTGCTACATGCAGTGCAGAGTTCTGTGCGTGCTCGGGAAGAACAGATACACCACTGCCTCTGGGAGCCCCCTACTGCCAGGGCACACCCTGGGGCAAAGAGGGTAGCACAAATGATGGGTGAACTCATGGAACCTGACACTGGCACACACTGCCCCCAGAGTCACAGGCCAGGCCCACCCCAGAGCTTGCCACATCTGAAGAGCACTAGGCTGGCCTCATGCCACATCTCGTTCCAAAGAACAGGGAGCATTTCTGTGCTGTGCAGGGGAGCACCCCAGAGCTTTAACCAGGAGGTCACAGTCTGCCCTGCTTTTGTCTCCAGCTGTGGTGCACCTTTCACGAGACGCCTCTGGTGAAGAAAGCCTGCCAGAAGACTCTTGCTGACCTGAAATTGCATTACCTGGATCTCTACCTCATGCACTGGCCTTTTGGCTTCAAGGTACACAGTAACAGCAGGTCTCATTCCTGGGAGAGCTCCTCAGAAGTGCCAGGAGCACTTGCAGCACCACTGCTGCTCCAGAAAGAGCCCGTGGCTGTTGTGCCAGCACTGCCCCAGTGCTGCCCATCCCACTCTGCCCCTGATCTCTGCCCCGACAGCGCTGCCTGCACAGCGTCCTCTGCCCTCCTGATAACGGGCAGGCAGACCCAGCACTAAGGTCAAGCCCCTGGCTGCAAGCAATAGCTGTTCCTCTTTCCCTTTCCTTTACAAACCCAAAGCGTGCTCTTCTGAAGGAAAAGCCCCTGGGACAGAGGGGTGCAGTTTGCTGCCTGACAGAAATTCTTTCCTCTGCAGGTTACAGAATCACATGGTGCAAGTAATCACTTCTGTTTCCCATTTCTTTCTTTATTCTCCAAATCCTTCATACAGTACAGATTGAGCTGACCTTGCCTGTAGGAGCCTTAATGTTGTTTCAAAGACTTTGGATCTCAAAAAGATGATGCCTATCAAAATCTCTATTCTACCTTATGCTTTTGAGCTCAACTCCATTCCTTCAATATTGTTCTAGTTAGCTTTATGTGGACAAAGTTGTCAGGTGAAACTGCACAATATTGTGGTATTAAGATAATTCAAATAATTCAAAATACTTTGGCCATACTGTCCAGTTAGAAGCTGTTCTAATTCTTCTAATACAGCAATTTCAACAATGAGCATCCCTATGGGACATCTGTCAGCAGATGCACTCCAGTATGAAGGTCTGTGTTCCCAAGTCAATCCTCCATTATATCCTTTTTAATAACAACTAAAGAAACTGTTATTTGAACACTACTTGAAGAGAACTCATGTAGGACTCCAGAATATTGTTCTATAAGTTAACCACCTCCCTGCATGCACTCTGTGGATCATCACTTCAAAGGGTCCAGCAGAAACACCTGTCTTTATTGGCATAGTAGATGACAAAACTTCAAGAACTAAGAATAAGAAGTGACCAAAGAACTAATTGAGTTATGGAGAGAACTGTTTGTTGTTTTGTTGGGTTTTTTTAATGCAGTATTAACTTTAGCTCCTTACATCCCTGTTGGGTGATTTTACACAGCTAGTGTCACAGCAGAGATTATTTCAAGCCTTTTCTCTCTCTTTCTGACAGGCTGGAGAGGAATTGTTTCCCAAAGATGACAAAGGCATGGCAATACCCAGCAACAGTGATCTTCTACAGACATGGGAGGTAAGTTCAGCCAGAGCAGAAGAGGAACATCCTCTGTCCTCATCAGTCTTTTCCATGCTTGCATTACCTTCAGCAGTCAGGGAACTGTTGTCTCGTTCACACAAAATTAGTTGGAAGGAACCAATTTAATAAGGCAGTACAAACTGCCTTATTTAACTTAAATTTACTGCCTTATTAAACAAAATTACAAACTTAAATTTAAACTTAATAAGGCAGTACAAAATAGCTTTTCATAATGGGCATGCTTAATCCTTCCCTGGTTATTCCTATTCTCAGAGTGTCTTACTTGACTGGAGCGGCACAAGCACTTCCAGTGGCCACCACATTGAAGCTAGAAAAATCTCACTGCGGAACAATAACAACTTGTTTCAATAACAAATTGTTTTCACCACAGTTCCTGTGCCTTTCTTGAGTTGCTCAAACAAATTTCACAGAAATAAAGACATTTTAGGTTGAAATCTGGCCTATAATGTGTGGGACAGCCCTCCACTGCTTGCACAATGGTGGATTACTGAGTGTCATCATTCTCCTCATGCAACTCAGTGTGAATTTCTACACACTCAGGGAATGAGAATTTGGGCTTGGGTGAAATGGCATTAATGTGCCAGCATCTGCTTTTCCCTCAGAGAACTTTGCAACACTAAATAGTTCTTTTGTGCTGCTTGTGGTGGGAAACAAGTCACATTAGGAGGAAAATCATCATGAGCTGCTTTGCACACTGGATGATGTTTTTGTTGTTTTAGGCCATGGAAGAGCTGGTGGACTGTGGACTGGTAAAAGCCATTGGTGTCTCCAACTTCAACCATGAGCAGATTGAAAGAATCTTGAACAAGCCAGGACTGAAGCACAAGCCTGCAAATGTCCAGGTGAGTTGCAAAGTGACTGCAGGTGACTGGCTTTGTGGGATTATAAAGATCCAATTACAGTTGCATGAGGAGATGCAAAAAGGAAAAACAAAGCAGACACAGCATGTACTTTAAATTCCTCTCTATGGATATTTCAGAGCACAGCACTTAGATACTTCTATTTATTTATTTATTTATTTATTTATTTAGTATCACCTTGCTCAGCCACTGTTTAAGCGAGAGTTTTCCTGAACACAGTCTTTCTGGAATAATAAAGAACCCAGAGATGAGTTTTGTGAAACACCCCTCAGCAAAAACTGTGTAAACACTTTGTATCATTATTATCATGGTTTTATCATGGAGGCCATTGTCAAATCAGGGAAAAAATCAGCCTCTAATGCGATTAGGAGAAAATTTCTGGAGCACAATATTGCAGCAGTTCTGCCACTGTCAGACTGTTTGTTTTTGTGTTGGCAGATTGAATCTCATCCATACCTCACCCAGGAGAAGCTGATCAAGTACTGTCAGTCCAAAGGGCTGGCTGTGACTGCATACTGCCCCCTTGGCTCTCCTGATAGACCATGGTAAATTTGCTTTGCAATCTGCCAGGGAGCTGGTGGAGGTTATGATTGAAGCACTGAGACTGCACACACACCACTCATTTCTTATTTAAATACAGATCTCTGTTGCTGTGCTGAATCTTTCTGCAGAGGTTTCTTGCCACTGGTTTGTTTTCTCTGTGTAGGGCTAAGCCCGAGGATCCTTCCCTTCTGGATGACCCCAAGATCAAAGAGATTGCAGCCAAGCACAACAAAACCCCAGCACAGGTGAGCACTCCTTCCCAATGTAGGAAAACAGAGCCCCAAAAAGGGTAGAACCTCTACCCCTTCCCCACGAACTGTGGCACTTCTCTGATTTTTCCCTAACAATGCAGATTTTTTTATTCTATTATTTCCAGGACACACCTTTAACTCTTTGGCCATCAAAGAGATTCTAGACCACCTTCAGATGTCACTTCCCCTCTCAAGTCCTCTTGCAGAAAATGTAAACCTTGCATAGACTGCTAAAATCCCAGATGCAAACAAAAGGAATTGACTGGCCCAAAACCAGAATGGAAAGAAGACCTTCCATGGGGGCTTCCACCACTCTCCTCTTTGCTCTCCAGGCAGTGCAACCTGGACTGCAGGGACAGGGATGATTTGAAATGCAGCTTGCACAAGTGGCTATAGCTTAGGGAAAACAGCTGTTGGAACAGGAGGAAGGATTAAGTTGTCTATTCTTGCAGGTTCTCCTTCGCTTCCAGATCCAGAGAAATGTGATTGTGATTCCCAAATCTGTCACCCCACAGCGCATTGTGGAGAACTTCCAGGTGAGGGATTGGGATTGAGCAGCTGCCCCTCAGGGATGGCTGGGCAGTGATCCTTTATCACCCTTGCCATGGCCTCTGCAGCAAGAGGACTGGACTTCTGCTTTATGCTTAACTACACTTTACTGTGTGTTAACCCAGGCCTACTTTTGGAGAGTTTAATCAGCAATCCTTACATGATATTATTCCCTGTTCCATGGCTTGTGGATGGATGAACAGGCACAGTTTGCTTGGAATCCCCACACAGGAACATGCCAGAAACATCTCATCTAGAATTAACAATGGTCATAAAATAATCCCTTACGTCCATAAAACAAGTTGTTGCTCATAATTCAGCGGTCCATGTGTGAAAATGGACTCTCCAGTGTGGAGCTGCTCTTGTATTTCTCTTAAGTTTGTTCAAAGAAGTGATTTCCACTTGTATCTCTTTTTAGGTGTTTGACTTTGAACTGACTAAAGAGGAGATGGCAACTATTCTGACCTTCAGCAGAAACTGGAGGGTCTGTGCAATGAATGTGTAAGTGACACTGCTTGTTTTCTTCTAAATCTTAAATTCTGAATATTCTGTGCATGGAATTTTGTGTCACAGCTTCTAACATGAAATTCAATTTATTTAAAAATCATGCCAACTCAAACTCCAACTGGTTTGTCCCAAAATAATAACATTTTCAGGAGAAGGCTTGATATTTTCACTTTAAAAACAAAACAAAAATTAAACCAAACTGTATTCTCATTTTTAATTCTTAATTTTCAGGAATCTCTCTGTAACTTGAATGACACAAAAAATGGGTTCTGGATGTTCAACTCATCTCAGTCTGTATCAGAGAAAGGAGAATATGTATCTCCACCTGTTCTTGCTGTGACTGCATGATGCAGGTCTTCCCTTGGTGGCTCCTCCATGCACACAGCATTATCTCTACATCACATTTGGATCACGTGTGAAAATAACATTCTCACTTTCATTTCTTTCAGGTCCAAAAATCTCAAGGAATACCCTTTCCATGCAGAATACTGAAGGTGCTTGAAACACTAGACCTCTAGTGTCATCTGCCCTGGTGCTGCCAGTGAAGACATGGGATGTTTATCCCATGAAATCTGGCTTTTTTGGAAGAAGGAAGGAGTATTTTATACAGCACCACTATTCAGTGGTTGCCTTCAGTCATGCATCAGCAGAAACCAGATGTTGACAAGTACACCCCACAGGTCCACAATTTCATCAGAGGTGTCACGCATTTTAAATAAAATTAACTTTAAAATGCAAAAATCTAATTGAGGGGAAGTTTTCTGTCTGTTGTAGGAAAAACCCAAGGCCCTCCCGCCCAGAGATGCACAGAGGGGTGGGTTGCAGCCACCTGCACTGTGGGGACACAGATCCTGCCTGGGACACTCGGCATTTTCCCCTGCCATCCCTCAGCATCCACCTTGTCCCCTCCTTGCTGGCCACAGCCCCCAAGCCCTGGGCACAGCCCTGTTTTTAACAAATACAAGAATTATCAGAAGCTAAAGTCTTAAAGAAAAAAAAAACCTCTTGAGAAGACACAGACACATTGGTGGGACCTCAGAGGATGCTCCTGGCTTGATCTGAACTCAGTGCAAGAAAGAGGCCAATGTCTTAAAATCAGATTAAATCTCGACTCCCCTGTTTTACTCCTACCTTAACAAGCATCTGGAAGTTGAACCAATGCACACCATTTAGCAACATCAACTTTCTGTTCCAATAAATACACTTTTCTCAAAGGCCCTGCCACACCTTCAGGACAGAAGCAGGAATTGGCATGGTCTGGGCAAGGCCTCACACCAACAAAGCAAAACACAAAACCTTCTGCCCAAAACCCTCTCTTAGAAGACCAAGGTGTCCCTCATGGGGAAAAGCAGGCAGCAACCTTCAAAGGAGAACATGAGTTCACAGAAGAAAGGGAGAGGAAGGAGAAATTGCATTTCTCAGCCCGCTCTCTTATGTGATTGAACTGCAATACCACATCCTGCAGGGGACAGCTGACAGCACTGACAGAAAACTGGAGGAAGATTAAAGGGAAAACTAATTATCTTGTCTGTCTCCAGTTAAATGAAGCAGAACAATCTTGGGCATCCTCTGTGGGAGAGACATTCTCTGTGGGAGAAAAAGGCACCATTGTACATATTTCAGATTTCTGCTTGTACCTGAATGAATTCCCCAAGTACCAGCAAACAGCAAAGCCTCCCAAGCAGCCCTAACAGGCCATTATTGAGCACTCGAAGGATCCTGTTGATGAATTAATTTCTTTTTGACTGCACTTTCAACACCTCATCCGTACAGCATATTTTGCCTCTCCAAAATTGCAAAGGCAGTTTCTAATGTGAAATTAAAAGGCCACCTATCATTTATTGCTACACTCGTACGTATTTCCTTCTGAAATACGGTTTGCACCTCCCTGAAGGCAGAGGAACAAGGTGATTATTGTGATACTCGCTGAAAACTCGGTGTTCTTCGGTTGTTTTGAAAACACACTAAAACACGCTTTCCCTTAGCATTTTAAATGAAGTGATTTGTCCTGATCATTTCCGAAATTGCTCGCAAACTCACCCCAAAGCGGAACTGTTTGTCCCACGTTTGTGTCTCTCTCAGGGAACCGAGAGGGGGTCAGAACACCGGGGGACATGGCACAAGCGAGACACGCACGGACAACCCGTGGACACTGCGGGAGCTGATCCCTGCAGGAACTCCAGCCGAACCACAGGGACACACCTTAGCCCAGCCCTAATCTTTCCACAAGGAACTTCACCCTTCTCCCGGGGGAAAGCCGAGAGCGCGCCCGGCCTCCCTCCCACACGAACCGCCCCCACGGCCGGCAGCGGGCCTCACTGGCCGCGGGCTCCACTGCTGATTGGTCAGCGCGGCGGGCTGGCGCCGGGACAGAGGACGCTGATTGGTCGACGCGGCGGGCTCGTGCCGGAACGGGGGACGCTGATTGGTCGACGTGGCGGGCTCGCGCGGGGGCGGGGGACGGTGATTGATCAGCGCGACGGGCTCGCGAGAGAGCGAGGGACGCTGATTGGCCGCGGACGGGGGGTACCCATGGCGGGCATGGCGGGGTACGTGAGGCTCGGGACCGCCGCCAGCGCGCCCCTCATGGGGCTGGGAACATGGAAGGTGAGGCGAGCACCGCGCTGCTGGACGGGGGAGCGCCTGAGAACCCCTCACCGAGACCTGCCCTGCCCTTTGTCCCTTTAGTCCCCCCCAGGTAAGGTGGCAGCTGCGGTGATGGCTGCCATCGATGCCGGGTACCGCCACTTCGACTGTGCCTACGTGTACCAGAATGAAAACGAAGTTGGGGAAGGGATCCAGCAGAAAATCAAGGAAGGTGCTGTGAAGCGAGAGGATCTCTTCGTGGTCAGTAAGGTATGGATCAGATGGCCGTGGATTATGGACATGCTGGTTTTATCGGTGGTGTTTTTACAGTAGGAACAGTTACACACATTAAATGACGTAGCACTGAAGGAGTTTGTAATGTAAATGAGTTAATTGCTGGTATTTTCTTGCTTCCTGCGCTGCCACACAGCCGAGAGCTCAGTGTGTGCGAAGAGCATTATGCTGGCCTCGTTCCATCCCATTCCAAAGAACAGCATTCCTGTGCAGGGGAGCACCCCAGAGCTTTAACCCAGGAATTCTCAGTCTGAGTAGTCTGAGAAAGCCCTGGTTTGTGTCTCCAGCTGTGGTGCACCTTCCATGAGAAGCCTCTGGTGAAGGGAGCCTGCCAGAAGACTCTTGCAGACCTGAAGCTGGATTACCTGGATCTCTACCTTGTCCACTGGCCTTTTGGCTTCAAGGTACGGTAGCAGCAATGCCCGTAACTTTGTTTCTTATGGCTGGTTTAACAGCCCAACAATTGTTCTGGCTGACAATTCCATGCCTGTTATCTGTGCCAGCACTGCTCTGGTGCTCAGCTTGACCCTGGCCATGTGACTCGGGCTCTTGGTCTCTGCCCTAGAGGCAATTGTTTGATCCTGGGAATGATGGCCTGAAAACTAGAGAAACTAGAGGCAGCTCTCCTAGCTCCAAGCATAAGAGACAGGCTGGTTTACTTTTCTGTTGCAAATCCAGTGTGTATTCATCTCAAATTCACCCCTTGTGGGAAGGAGGGTTGCTTTTTGCTGGTTTTCTGCAATTTTCCTTTTTGTGCTACAGAATCAGCAAAAGAAAGCATATCTATTTTCCATTTCAATCACCAAGTCCTTAGTGCAGTACAGATTGAGCTGACCTTGCTTGTAGGAGCCTCAGCATTGTTCCACTGAGACAGGAATTAAAAAGGTGAAACTTCTGTTAGAGAATTTATGCCCTCCAAGATCAGTGAAGGAGTTGATGTCTCAGTTGGAATATTTCTAGTCACAGCCTTTCTGTCTTCTTGCAGTCTGATCCCTCCCCATTCTATCTGTTGCCTTTGACATGCTCATCTTTTTGTCATGCTTTATTTTAACTTTATATTAACAGAGCCATGAAAATTAAACTGTCTCATGGTGACAGCAGCAAACAGCTGCTAAACACAGTTCAGTCTTGGCATTTTTTCATAACTTGTACACAAAGGCTCTTCTAACTTTCCTAGTGTTGGTGGCTTTACACTGAGCATTCTCATGGAAGAGCTGTCAGTGCACATAAAACCTCTTTTCAGTAGATCTGGTGTTGTGTAGACCAAAGTGTTGATGCCCCCCCTGGAAAAAGGACAAAGCAGTTCTTGCTAAGTGGGAACTGAAGAACAGCACCTGAAGGGAGCACATGTGAGGCTGGAGACTGCAGCTCTGACTGCTTTGTTTCCCTGTAGGTGTTTGGGTGATCCATCGCTTCCAGGGGTCCAGCAGAAAAACCTGTTCCTATGGGGAATGGTCACTGGCAAAAACGCCTTAAATTCCTTCCACTTCTCAGAAAGGAATGACTGAATGTAGACAAGAATTAGCGCTCTTGCACTAGAAATTTAAGGTGCTGTGGTTGTGAGCACTTAAATGGACTCAACAAGAGATTTTCAAGCAATTTCTCTCTCACTGACAGGCAGGAGAGGAGCTGTTCCCTGTAGATGACAAAGGCATGGCCATCCCCAGCAACACAGATATTCTACAGACATGGGAGGTGAGTTCATCCTGAGCGGGAGAGTCACATCTTCTGTCTTCAGCAGTGGTGTTGCCTTCAGCAGTTGCAGAATGTTCATCTGTGTTGATCCATTTTCATTCCCAGTTAGTTGGAAAGAATTTACAGAAGCACACGGCAGCTTTTAAAAGTGTGCTCCCCATGAAGAAGAACAGAGCATGTCAGGAAGAATGTGTTCAGTCACGTCTTACCCGCTGCATGCTGACT